ACTCTAACATCCAATCTTCCAAACCTACGCATTTCCAAATGACTCCCGAAGACAATGCTCTCCAGATGTTCACAATCGCACCCAGTTAACTGATTCAAATACAATCGTTTAAAGAATTCGACCTTCCCAATGCTACCTAACATGGATTGTCTTTCTCTTGAGACTATACCTTTGACGTTATAAGATATCCTCCAGTCATTCGACGCTCTGGGTCTCACATTTCCACTATTAGATCCGTTACTACACACCTTGGTCCATTGTCTTGAATTAGGTAAGCTCACGTGATTCTTCGTATGACCTTTCACCAACATTCCATTTCTCGTTTCTGGGTTTCGCTTACATATAGGACCAACCATAGTTCCATCAAAATCACTCCTATTGGCTGATTCTTGATGTTCGAATGCTTTATATTCATTTTTGTCAGCTCCAATTCCATATTGGTAACAACACCCAACATCATTTACTCCATTAGCCTTTCCAATATCAGCAGATTTTTGGTAAGAATCGAATGCCTTCTGATTTTCCATTTCAACACCGATTTCATTCTCATAACAGCAACTAACGGTACATGTATTACCATCACTGATCATTTTTTCAATAGGAATCATATTAGCAGATTGCTGATGATATTCGAAGGCTTTACTTTCGTCTTTTTTAACGTCAACTTCGTTCCCTTTTTCATAACAATGCCCAACAGCACATGTCCCATCAGCATCGTCCATGTTAGACGATTTTTGATAATGGACGAATGTCTCATGTTTATCCTTATCAATTCCATTTCCATGATGGTAGCGATGTTCAACAAAACCTTTAATTTCTTCATCCACGCACCTAAAGATCTGTACATTTTGGACTTCATTCGGATTTGTATCCCTTTTCTTTTTCTCTTGCCGATTTCTTTTCCAGCTCATATTCTGATCCTTTTCTTTAACCATAATCATAGGTTGTACTTGCGATGGACATGATTGAGCCAAATGTCCTGGGCATCTACATACGTAGCATAAGCGTGGTCTATAACATCGTCGTTTCGTTTGCACCACCTTCAAGCTCTTCACAACTTCAGCCACCACCTCAATCATGTTTTCGACCAACGTAATCAACCGATTTTCGCCTTTCATTCTCTTTCGACTTCACAACTTGAGTTACGTTCGATATTATTATTATTTTTTATTTATTTATTTTTTTTTGTTTTCTTTATTTTTCACTAACAATATCCTTTTGTATCTCTTAAAATACACAATGCACTTCAAAACTTTTGGCTCTTCGAAATTCAACGAGTAGGACTTTCGTCTGCACAGGTCCTTCTGTTGTGTCCGATTACGGTTATACGGGGTCTTCGTTACTTCAGCCTTCCAATTCAACTTGCTTGGCTTTTCACACAGGCTGGAGTATCGTTCCAGGTACTGCCACCAATATACTACGATGTTGACCACACAGTTTTTCCTTTAGAACGTTTTTCACTAAGCTAAAACTTATTCGAAAGCCAAATCTTTTTTTATTATTATCAAGATCGCTATATTTAAATACAAGATTATCTTCGGATATATGTTTATCTGGGTTACACGCATTA